GTTCTGGTACACAGTCGATGATTGTTTCCTCATTTAATCACCATTTGCTGATAAGCCTCGGATCTTCAACTCTTGGCAAGTCATACTTCATGCCTATTGCAATTGCATGATACATATGAGAAAATAAAATGAAAATGAAAATTACATAAAGAAAAAAATAACATAACCGATTTGGATGTATGGCAAAACCCCTCGCGCTGACTGCCAAAGCTGAGGCAGCAAAACGGCCATGGATGCCACCAGAAAGTGATAATGTAAGCCCGATGCACTCATTAGTGTGCCATAATTTGAAAAACTTCTCCTCCCTCACTGAAGTCCACTGCTAGCAGATATTATCCTATTTGGGTTTCTTTTTTCGGACTTCCCCTTAAGATTTTTTAAAAAGCATCTAATAGGGAGAGATTTTCACACCCTTATAAAAAATGTTTCGTTCTACTCAACCGACGTGGGATCTCACACCACGCCACCCCTAACTAGAGGGAAGTGCTCAGCCTCAGGCTTATATATATGTGGGAAGATCAAATGGTTAAGGAATAAACATAGATGATATGCGTATATACATAACAATTATGCCATCAAATTTTCTGCGGGGAAAGTCATTGGGAAGATTAAGCATACGGAAGACTGCTTGAAGATCGGTAAGAAACTTGAGCACCTTTCTTGGATAATCACTGTCCAGCCGTTACTTGGTAGACAACATATAGTGGCTACAGAAGTAGTCGCACCAAATTCATTACAAGTTATAGATGCAAAACCTCAGGCTCAATAAAAAAAATCCAAAAATTCTCACCAATTCATTGGTCACGAAACATTTTCCTGCAAAATAAACAAAGATATCCAAATCAGCAACCCAACATGGTTAACACATCGTAAAAGAATGGTAGGACAGAAGGCATACTGGCTCGGAACTACAGAGTATAGTTGAATGAACAGCGGACAGAAAAAACAATACACAAACTACCAATTCCATCATCAAACCAAGATATTGTGTGCAATGCTCCTTAAATCAACCTATCATAGATGCTCCTATGTGGCTAGGCCATAACTCCAAATTATTGGAACATGATTCTTTTTTGATAAGTATCCATGTGACTAATTGAGAAGACAAGTTACTGTCAGAACTGCGTTAACGCAGATGATGGATTTCTTATCAGTAGAAACGCACCATCACCAAGAAGGAAAAAGGGCGATGCACTATAGAAATGACAGTTTCATTCCTTCCAAAAAAGACCACAGGTCACAAAAAGGATCATCCATTAAAGAAATGGCAGTTAATTTCTTCCAAGAAAGACCACAGGTTCACAAAACTACAAAACAAACCAGGAAAGTGAACGCAACCAGTGTTTAGAAATTACAAATCAAAAGGCTTCATGGCAATTAGCTCCTTGCTTGCCTAGGAATACGCATAAAAAGCATTGCCAGATTGAGGTGACATGCACGACGAGAAAAAAAAAAAAAAAAAAAATCTTGGTTACATATAGAAAATAGAAAGGTATCAAACTAACCAAATAAGTTTATGTGTGATCACAATACTTCAATGCCTCAAAAGCGATAAAGAAGGAATCAAAAGCAACAAAAGGGATTTACGAATATACCCAGTCGGTTCAAGTACATTCACACTTCGGTAAATTGTAGCTCAATACACCCAGTCTGGTCAAGTTTCAATTCGGTTGATGACAATTTCCAATCCCGTAACTAAGATCCTGCTCTATGAAGGCTCCCTGTCAAGGAAGAATATATTCTATCATCAGGTTCAATGCCTGCTGCTTTCATTTCATCGTATAATTTAAAAGCTTCATCAGATCTACCATCCTTCGACAACCCAGAGATCAATGCCGTGTAAGTTATCAAATTTCTATTTAGCCCTCGCTGTGGCATTTCATTAAACAGTTCAAGTGCCGTATCCAAATTCCCACGAACACATTCCCCATTTATAAGTGATGAATATGTAAATGTGTCTGCCATTAACCCCCTTTCTTGCATCTCATCTCTCAGCTTGTATGCCTCCTCCATCTTTCCCTTCTTCCCATATCCATCAATGAAAGTATTGTACGTAACAACATTAGGTACCTTGCCCTTCGTCTCCATTTCCTTCAACAGCCTCTTTGCTTCTGCAAAATTTCCTTCTTTGCAGTAAATGTCAATCAAAGTACTGAAGCTCACTGCATTTGGAGCCACTCCCCTTTCTTCCATTGTGAGCAATAAACTCTTTGCTTCGTCTCGCCGATTCGACCTACAAAATCCACTGGCAATTATGTTATAAGTAAACACATCAATCTCGAACCCTTTTTGCTGCATGATATCCTGCAGCCTTAGAGCTTCGTCAAGCATCCCTTTTTTGCAGTACCCATCTATCAACGTATTGAATATAACTTGATTTACATCAATCCCTTTACTTTGCATGTCATTTACCAGCATCTCAGCTGCCTCCATCTCACCTGCCTTGCAGGCACCATTTATAAGAGCACCATAAGTGTAAGCATTTGGAACAAGTCCTCTCTCAGTCATTTCATCAAACAGAGCAAAGGCCCTCTTCATGTTTCCAGAATTAAAGTTCCAATTTATAATGGAGGTGTAAACATAAACATCAGGCTCTATACCTCTCTTAAGCATTTCATCGAACACCTTCTCTGCTTCTTCAATTTTCCCACTTCTTGAATACCATTCAATCAAAATTGTATACGTTGTTGCATTATAATCCACGCCATCTTTCTCCATCAAACTAAGAATCTCATTTACACAGCTCATATTCTTCCTTTCAATATAAGCATTCAAAAGAGTATTATATGTGAAAACATTGGGCTTAAATCCTTTGCCAACAAGTTCATCCATCAAAGCCTTGGCCCTTTCAACCTCCCCTTTTCTACACAACCCATCAACCACAATCGTCAACGAATAAACACTTATTTCCACACCTGAATCGACCATTTGGCGCAAGAATTCCAGAGATAATTCAACATTACCAGACCTCTTTAAAGCAAGCAGAAGGACAAGACAGGATCTCTCCTCAATCTCAAACCTATTCTTTCTCGCATAATCAAAAACTTCCAAAGCCGAATCAAACATTCCGTTATCCACGTATACCCTAAACAGCATATCACAAAATTTATCAACAAATTTTGGCTCACTGAGCTCACCTCCAATCGAAGAAACAATCCGTTCAGTAGTGCAGCGAAGATTTCCATCATTGACGATGAAGTTCAACACATTTTTCATTACAGCGAACTTCCGAGCTCGATACAACCTACAAATAAGGATTAAATGTGCCCGAAGATCGGGTTTCTGAGAAGGGTTTTGTCGGAGAAAGTTGAAAAAACTCAAACACGACTGAGTAGGAACGCTTGGATTAGACAAAACCAATTGCGTTACCCGAGAATCAAGATTTGATAGCAGCGATGGCGTCGTTTTGAAGGGTTTAAGGCCAGATTTCACAATCAGCTTCGCAATGTTCGTGGCCATCGCCTGATTCGCCATGGGATGATGGGAGATAGATTTCAATCGATTTCGTGCCTTCTCTTTTGAATATCTTCTGAGATCAAATTTTGGGCAAAAATTTGAAATGAATCCACAGAGCACTACTGTTCATCAAATTGACAACTTTCCACTCTAAATTATAAATTTGTATTAATTTAGTTTCATAACTTTTTCCTTTTATTTTTCTTTTCCTCTCCTCCATTTTTTTTAATAAATTCGTATTAAGAATCTAATTATTATTATTTTTTTTTTACATAAGATATTAAATACTATTTGATACATTAAGCCGAATATAAATTGCGTCAACCACTATGCAAAAATATAAAATAAAATAATAAATCTAGATACGTCTTTAATTAAAAATAATAATTTTTTTAATTAAATTATTTATATGATATGTATAATATAAATTATTTATTAATACTGACAGAGAAAGTATGGAATTATTTATTTATTATTATTTAAAAAAAAAGCATGGGAATTTTACTTTTTTGACCAAAGAGCATTTATTGCAGGGTGGAAAGCCAATAAAATTGAACACGAATGCACGTGTGGCTACAATAATTGTCCTGGAAAGTGTGTACCAATTCAAATTTCTCCATTTTTTTTGTTTTTTATCTACAAATTTTAAGTTATTTATACATGCACACAATTTCACAATTATACCTCAATATTATCAAAAATATTTAACGTTATATGTAACCATCTAACCCCATAGCTAGTCGATATTATCTTCTTTTGACTTTTACTTTCGAGGTTTCCTTCAAAGTTTTTAAAACGCTATACGGATAGGGAGATGTTTTCAGACCTTGATAAAGAATGTTTTGTTCCCCTCTACAACCAATGTTGGATCTCACAATCCATTCCTCTTCGAGCCCAACATTCTCACTGACACTCGTTCGTATCTTCAATCAATGTAGGACACCAAACGGTATGCTAGCATCCCAGTGTGCCAATTGAGGATGTTGGGCCATAAAAGGGGAGGATTGTGAGATTCCCTATTGGTTGAAAAGCGGAACAAAACATTAATTACAAAGGTGTGAAACCTCGTAGATGCGTTTTAAAAATCTTGAAAGGAAGCTTGAAAGGGAAAATTCAAAAAAGACAAATGATATTATCTACAATTATTATAGATTGTCACCACGGTCAATTAAGATCAGGACAAGTGAACGATTTGGCCAAACAACCTTTATCAAAATCTGAATAGTCATTAGCTCCTCCAACCAACCTTGTTATTATATCCCGAGAGAGGTCTTGAGTACAAAAATTAATGGCTCATATTTGAAAAATTATATAAGGACACAAGCGTTTAATGATTGATGAACTAGGGGAGGGAGGGAGGGAGGGAGGGAGTGGGGCCATTGGCAGCTGAGCTTCCAGCTAGAACCTTGTAGAGGAAACAAAAAAGAGGGCCATTGGCCCAATATTCTTGCCTTATTTTTCCAACTCACACACTCACACACACACACACACACACACACCCACCCACACACCCACAGAGACACCTAATTGTTTTATGCCTTTCAATGTCCTCATCTTCCCATCTCCTCTTGCTATAAATTCCACCCTTTAAGCCCTTAAAATCCAAACTCTTTTGGATCAAAACGCAGTTGTTTAGAGTTGCTGAGGCAAAAGGAAGGCGTTTTTGGGGTTTTGTGGGGAATTGGAGGTGACCCAGAACAAAAAGTTGAAAGCTTTGATGAGCAGAGAAAGCAGCAGCAGCAGCAGCAGCAGGAGGTATTGCAGAGGGGGAAATGGTGATTTCAATAATAATAATGATAATGGGTTTGAAGGTGGCGGTGGGTGCAAGTCTTTTGGTGAGAAGTGTACCAATTTGGTGAAGAAACAGAGGACTAAATTTTATATTCTTAGAAGGTGCATTGCTATGCTTGTGTGTTGGAGAGACAGAGGGGAGTCTTGATATCTTTTTATTATATTCTTTTACTTCATTTATAGATTGAATAAGATACATATTTATTTATATATATATATATATATATATATATATAGTAAGCTTGGTATGTGTATGATATTTTATTTTAGACTATAGTTTTGAATGATTATTATTCTTTTTATATCATTGATTTTTGGGTATATTCTTATATGGGGTTTACTTTTCATTATATTTCTCAAATGGGTTCTTTTTGGATCCCATTTTTGGATCCAAAAAATGGATCTTTTTGCTGTCTTTGTTCATACTTTTGTTCAAAATGTTCATATGATCTCTCTCTCGGTCTTTCCTTTAGTTTTTCTCGTTCGTTCAACCATAAAACACGGGAAGATTCAAACATTAGACTTTGAGAAATGGTCGTTCTCGAGTTTGCTTCTCTCACTCTCTTTTCTCCTTTTTTTTCCCGTAGGTTCATTGTCGCTTTGCTCTCTTCATTTCTTCCTTTCGTATCATCTCTCAAAATTATTTAGAATAACAAATTTCTCTTAGAAACGTTGCATTACGATATGGAAAAAAAATTTCCTTTATTTCTTCATTGTTAGATGAAATGATAGTAACGTGTATCAATCATATACTGATGGACATCAATTTTATAATGCTATTATGAACCAATGCAAATTGATTGATTTGATTTGAAATGGGTATATAGTGAAGTATGATGGCAAACACTTTTGTTCCCTCAAACCCATCAGCCACCATGTCCCATCTCTGCTTAACTTGTTTTTGGAGGACTTAGAGTTAAAATAGACGATATCATATTATTATAGAGATGAAAAAAAAATACTCGAAAATAGAGTTTTTGAGAATATTATAGAGATGGAAAGAAATACTCGAAAATAGAGTTTTCGAGAATATTATAGAGATGGAAAGAAATACTCGAAAATAGAGTTTTTAGGAATATTATAGAGATGCAAAGAGATACTCGAGAATAGGGTTTTTGAGAATATTATAGAGATGGAAAGAGATACTCGAGAATAGGGTTTTCGGGAGAGAGATGGGAGTAGTGTGTACGGTTTCTCTCCTGTTTGGCTGAGACATCCTCTGGTGTGGCCTTGTAAAAAGCACATCCACCACAGGTTCCTTCTTTTTTTCTTTATTATTATTATTATTTCATATCTTTGCTGGGGCCCCATTCCAATTCTCCATCATGTTTTTCCCTCTCCTTAAAACCCTCCTCTTTTCCTTACCCCTTTTTCTCACTCTTTCTTTTAATATTACTTTTTTAAGAGCTTCCCCCTAAACCCTTTCCTGTTAAATCATTCCTTTCTCCGGTTAAATCATTCATTTCCACGTCTAAATTGTCTAAGTATACGGGTTTGGGTTTAGATTTTGAATCGAATGATTCATTCTCTTATGGAAAAGGAACTATAACCTATGTCCACTCAAACCCACCACACTTATACGGCACCGTGCATATAGAAATAGAGAATAGACTCAATTCCTTAACTATTTTTAGTGGTCTTGTTTCCATGTTGAAACTATGAAATATGATCTCACTCAATCAACCGAAAGAAAGCAAAGCCGAGGTGGGGAAAATGAAATAGGGTTAGTAGCAATCTGGTGAATGAAAGAGGGACCCATATGTAAGATGAACACGTGCAATCTGCAAACGTTGAAAAATAAAAAAAAAAAAACCCTAAAAGAGGAATTTTTATATAATTGAGGATCAAAGCTACAACTGGTGACAATGTTGTTATACGTACGAACCAAGCTTGGCTTTCTCTAGTGCTCATGCACGTGTGCTTTCACATAAAATGTCCCCACTCTCTTGTTATGATATTCCTTTACAACATTTTTCAAATATAATCTTTGTATTATATAATTATACCTCATGTTCTACAGAATTTGAATGGTTGTACTTACTAAATATAAATCCATTTACCCAGAAATTCTGGGAAATGAGGCAACACATTTTGGTGTCTCGTGTTCTGCTTTGTTTTGTGGGCACACAGATCAATGGATTTAATCCTTCAATTTTCAAATTGGTCGGCTTCACTAACCACTCAACAAATATGGTATGGTATATCAAGAATGAAGTAAATGATAATCTTAATCAAATAGAATCTTTTCAGTTTTTTGTGTAACCCATAACAAAATTATGGATAAACAAAATGATTTCTTTCCATCCAATGGTTTGGATTCACGACTCTGTCCAATCAAAAGTGATCCACATGATGAAAAGCTTTTGCCAAGTTATATCATGCTATCAAGTCTCTAAGCATAAATGGGGTTGGAGCCTAAATGACGTACTAGTTATAGAGGTCATCTTCATCAGCCCCACCAGCAGATGTTGCAAATGGGTCAGATGCAGTTGATCCCGAGCTCTGTTCGAACCTGAATTCGGCTCCGAACCCTCTCGACTGCTGAAGTGTTTGTGCAAATGCCTGGTATTTGCGGATGTCCGCGTCGCTGACACTCCTTCGGGCATACTTCATGGATTCCTCAAAGTGAGCAGCCTTGATCTCGGCGACTTCGTCATCGGCATCCTCCTCCATGGCCTCAGGGTTCTCACTTTTCCTTCTCTCCTTCTCAATGTCCTGAAAAACGATAATGATCACTACTGCTGGCTTTTGGGGGTGTGGGGGAGGGGTTGGACTGCAGGCATAAAGAATAAGAAGTCTATTTGAAAGTAAGAGAAAGACCTTCTCGATGTTCTCTCTGATAGCATATTTGCAGGCACGCTGACAGATTTCTGTAATATCAGCACCACTGAAACCTTGAGTGTACTTGGCAAGGGCTCTGAGTTCAACATCTTTTGAAATGGGAGATTTCCTCAAGCAAGCCTTGAAAATTTGAAGACGAGATTCTTCATCGGGGAGAGGAATATAAATCAACTGATCGAGACGCCCAGGACGTAAAAGAGCAGGATCTATAATGTCTGGTCTGTTGGTGGCACCAATGATGAAAACAGTTTTCTTTGCTGACATTCCATCCATTTCTGTAAGAAGTTGGTTCAGTACACGATCAGCAGCACCTCCAGCATCCCCAACACTGCTACCTCTCTGCAAGTAATTGAAATGAAAAAGAAAAGGTCTAAGAACCCGGCAAAGGAAACTAAGCTAATATTTGCATATATCCATATGACTGCTAGATTATTCCTTCTGTTAAATACTAAACAGAAAAATGAAAAGATCTTCATCCATAAACAACACAACGCACTTGGGTAGCAATTGAGTCGAGTTCATCAAAGAACAAGACACAAGGAGCAGACTGGCGAGCCTTGTCAAAGATTTCACGAACATTGGCCTCACTCTCTCCAAACCACATAGTGAGCAACTCTGGGCCCTTAACGCTAATGAAGTTTGCTTGACATTCATTTGCAATGGCCTTTGCCAGAAGAGTCTTTCCACATCCAGGAGGGCCATAGAAAAGAACTCCTTTGGATGGCGACATCCCAAATTTCTCAAATTTCTCAGGATGTTCAACTGGATACTGGACCGTCTGCATAAAAGCAACAAAAAGTGAACAACAAAGATTATCCATGTGAAAATTAGAAGGGTTCAGAGAAGTATTGGGCAATACAAAAAATGTTATTGGTTTACCTCTTGAAGCTCCCTCTTAACATTCTCAAGACCTCCAATATCCTCCCATGAAACATTAGGTACTTCAACAACCTGATCAACAAAGCTCAAGCCATTAGGGTACATCCAAAGGAACGGTCTGAAGGGTGGGTGAAATGCAAATACATTAGCAGCACTGGCAGTCGTTTGAATATAAATGAGTACTACTTACCGTTTCACGAAGAGCTGATGGGTTGCTGGTTCCAAGAGCAGTCTGAAAATGCTCATTTGTAACTGCCATTGAGTTGAGTATCTCAGCATCTATTGAGTCATCTTCCAAGTCAATTACATCCATCTTCTCTCTAATGCATTGAAGAGCAGCCTCAGTACAGAGAGCTGCCAGATCAGCCCCAACATAGCCATGCGTATCTTTAGAAATCCTCTCCAAATCAACCTAAATAATACAGATTCACAGATTTCGATTAACTCTTAGTTATCACCAAAAGAAGAAGAAAGAAGTAAATTATTGGGGAACTGACTTCTTCAGCGAGTTTCATGTTTTTAGTATGAATTCGTAGAACTTCTAGACGCCCAATTTCATCAGGAACACCGATGTCTATTTCCCTATCAAATCTTCCAAATCTTCTCAGAGCTGGGTCGATGCTGTTGGGTCGATTTGTAGCCCCAATGACAATGACATGTGCACGAGACTTTAATCCATCCATGAGGGTCAGTAGCTGCGAGACAATCCTTCGCTCAACTTCCCCATTGGTCTTCTCTCGTTTGGGAGCAATCGAATCAATTTCATCAATAAAGATAATAGATGGTGCATTTTTCTCTGCTTCCTCAAAAGCTTTTCTGAGGTTACTTTCACTTTCACCGGCTAACTTGGACATGATCTCTGGTCCATTAATACAGAAGAAAAATGCACCAGTTTCATTGGCAACAGCACGTGCAATCAAAGTTTTACCAGACCCAGGGGGTCCATATAACAAAATTCCCTTGGGTGGCTTCACACCAATTGACTTAAATAGTTGTGGATGCCTCAGCGGCAGCTCGACCAATTCACGAATCTGAGCCATTTGCTTCCTAACACCACCAACGTCATCATAACCAACTTCATCTAATCTATCCTCATCCTCCCTTTTCACAGGCTCTCCGTCACAAAAGATCTCAGTGTCTGGGGCTACCACGCAGTATTCAGCAGGATCAGTCTCAATAACCTTGAACTCTACACTCCTCATTCCCCCTCTCACAAGAAAGAGGTCACCCTTCCTCAAAGGGCGATATGCCTCCAAGAAATAGGCTGCAAATAGAAGATAGTTGGACAGTCTTGAAATGATATATTACAATATTGTAAAGTTGGACAAAAAAGCAGACATGCTATTAGTGATATTCCAAATATGCATATTAGAGCACTGAAGTACTGGTTGAAATCAGAAAGCTCAATCATGCATGCATGTGCCACCA